AAGCGAGTCCAAGAGCAATTGAACCTGTCGCACTGGTGGAAACAGAGGTACTGGTTTTGGAGCTTGAGGTAACACTTGCAGTGGTTGTGTCAGCGACACAAACTGGTACCAACAAAGAAGTGTCACAGGTCAATCCAGAAGCACACAGCAAAGTGTCTGTGTTACAAGCGAGTCCAAGAGCAATTGAACCTGTGGCGCTGGTGGAAGCAGATGTACTAGAGGCGGTGCCGGTAGTGATACTCACACCTGTAACAGATGCACTGACGACAGAACTGGATCCAGTCGCGATTACACTGCTGGTTCCTGTTTCACTTCCAACAGTGGCACATGTACCGTGAACAAGCAGTAGAGTATCACACGTCAATGACGATGCACAGAACAACAGGATGTCATCACAGATATAGCCAAGTGGGAGTCCCACAGTATAAGTTGTTCCATCGGATACACTAATGGTTCCTGCAGCCGATGTTGTTGCGGCAACGGAGGTGATGGAAGCAACTGCAGTTGACGAGGTTGTGTCAGCGACACAAACTGGTACCAACAAAGAAGTGTCACAGGTCAATCCAGAAGCACACAGCAAAGTGTCTGTGTTACAAGCGAGTCCAAGAGCAATTGAACCTGTGGCGCTGGTGGAAGCAGATGTACTGGAGGCAGTACTGGCAACAGGACTAGTAGTAGTGGGCACTGTGCTGGTGCCAGTGCTAGTTCCTGTTCCTGTCGACACAACGGTGCTTGATTCAGTGGCTGTAGCAGAGTCGGTGGTGACGCACAGACCGTGAACTAGCAGGGTGTCACAACTCAGGGTAGATGCACAGAACAACAAAAGGTCGTCACATATAGCTCCGACTGGCAGGTCAAGCGTGTAAGTGACTAGGCCTGAAACAGAAACCACACCTTCCGAAGTGGAGGTTGCGGAAGTTGAGGAGGTGGTAGTGATAGTACTAGTCTGTACTGTAGTACCAGTATTAGAACAGGTTGAGGATAGAAGACCAAGTGACACACAACTCAGTCCTCCGTCACAGGCAAGAAGAGCACCACAGCTGCCGCCAGCGGTAACTGCTGCTGCCAAATTGACAAAGAACAAGAATGCCAGAAAAGGTCTGAGAACAATCATTCTGGATTCAAGAGCGCAACTTTTTCTTTACCTTTGGGTATAAGAGAGATAAGGTAAGGTAGAAAAGAGCCTTGAAAGGAATTCTAGAAGAAAAGGTCGCAGATGCTTTTTGAAAAAAGGACGAGAGGCCTAGGTTTTAATCATTATCACTATGAAGCCTACACGGGTACTTTATCGGTCTGCTTCTCTTCCTGCTCAGCAACAAACATAAGTGAACAAATGCAAATGTGATGGCCAGATGCTTCGTTCAAGCTGGTATGTCCGACAGATATTCACAGAACGCATTGCGTGTACGTGTCTGAGGCGAGTTTTGACTATAATGTGCAGAACGCATGCAATCCCATGCAATGCATCCCTCTGGATTTGCAACCTCTAGCTTTCAGATCTCGGTTCAGTCTAAGAGATTGTCCGACAGAACTCACGTATCCAGATGGATCTGATTACGCTGAGTCCATGGAGATATTTGTTGCTTTTACGTTGAGACCTACTGTATCTAGAGGTAGTTGTGCTGCTAACGTGCGGCTTCAGTGACAATTGTTCGGCAAAGCTAAAGGTGAATTTTGAGGGATATGGTATTTGCAATTATGTCACCTTTCAATTTTCCTTTTCGAATTTGTCCGTGACATGGGCAATTTCTAGAGTACACACAAAGTTTGCGACCTCACCCCGGCAGGTGGCAGCTTTACAGTCTGTATAGGGAAGGGTGTCTGCCTGCAGACTAATGCGTTTCAATTTACTTCCGGTAGCGAACAACGCACAAAAGGGTAAAGCGAAATTCACGTAAGCGAAGGACAAAATGGGCCGATTGTATAGATACCTATTGCCGGTCATACGTGGGAGTATCCACTCTTGGTGCGTAACTCGGACTTGAGAGCTGTTGCCTCGTTGGTCACTGCGAGGTAAGCCCGAGCGGTAGAGGTCGACGGAGATATCACTGAGGCTATTCCAAACAGATATTCCCCATATTACATGTACGAAATCGCATCACCTACTGTTTTTAACCCAGGATAAAAGGAAATACAGTAAATAAAGCCTCAATCTCTGTTGTTGGAGTCAAACCTATCGCAGAGAATGGTTTAGATCAGGTTTCTTTTAAAAGGTTGAGACAATAACAAGATGACGGCCTTGCATAAGTGATATGTGGCTCACAATAAAAAACAGCCTCGATTAGGAGTTAAAAAGCCAAATTCTGAGCGGATGCATGCAAGAGAAAATACAAAATGAAAGGCGAATGTGGGCGGGCAGCCTACGTGGTCGGCACGAAAGGCCGCCCTTTCAGACCGTGTTTCCCCGCCTTCTCCATGTCCACGGGTCGGATGAGGTTGAAAAAACAGCCACATGCGTGCCCTTGGATGGAACGGGTGTGCCCGGATATGTAACGCATGATCTAATGAAGCCTTCAGCAGTTACGTTAAGGCTTAGCTGAATGGCTTTCCCGAGATTCATTAAACCTGAATTCTGGGCAAGTAATTTCCAGAATAATACCTTTATTGCTGCAGACGTATTCTAATTCTTCCAGATTTGGCCATTTCGACTGCTTCCTCTGGAGGGATGTACGATGAAATTCAGAGGCGTCATTTTATGCACCTACTCAAGCACGGAATATTTCACGTTACACTACACTGTATAGAAAAATCAGGACGCCCCGATGGCCCCTCCTTTCACGCAGAGAGACTTCGTTTCAATTGCATTTTGACAAATTTCTGTTTTGTTCAAAAGCTAGCTCTTCTATCATCTCGGCAAACCATAACCGACCGCCCTAGTACAGTTTTCGTTCTGTGACCCGGATTTGATGTTGGTATACGGAACCATCAATGCTATCGCCTAAGTAACGCCGGTTCGGTATAGGTCTTGGTCTCCATTTACGTGCCACATTTGGTCACAGCTGTATGGCAAACCCGAAATTTCATCCCGGAAGTCGAGACTTATCGCCTGTTTTGGGAAGCAGCACCACAGTATTGGTCCCGGCTTTTTACGATATGACGCCCTTGCTCAGTTGGCAGCAGGTATGGCAGGTTAGGTAAGTTGATAAAGCTGAAAATTAGGCGGTTTGGTCCCCCCCCCCCTATCAAATCTTTGATAGATCCCGGCTTTTATTAGACCAGAACTGGCCTGGTTAAATAAACCGTCCCAGCTCGGTCCAGAGACTCACTCCAGCTCCAGCTCCAGCTCTTGCTCTTGCTCTCTGCTTTTCCAAGTTCCCCCGAGGCAGCAATTCCAACTGCGGGTGTTACGAATGAGGAAGCTTACGCAAGCACATCAGATCTCTGATTTTGTCATTGAGCTTATTTGAATCCGATGCCGGTTGTTAATATGTCTACCTTTGTAAACCGTATCTGGTAATAAGTGCCTCCCAACTAGGGTTTGAGCTGAAGAGGGCTAAATATGACCCACCCATTTGCGGGCCAGGTTTCTTCGGCAGGCTGCAACCTGGCAGACCCTGATCGTTACGGCGGGTAACGCAAGACTGTATAAACGAGTCACTTACGCTCTATTGTTCCTATTATGCTAATCGGCATACACCGCCGCCTTCATCATCTTCGAACAGCGACCTCGTTTTATTCTCGTCCCCCCTCCCCCCACGCATATATTCACTTGTGGTTGTCTCTGTTTATGACCCTGTGTGTACAGAGATATAACCAAAGATCTAGAGATTCGAATCTCTGGGCACATGTGCCAGTAGATCTTGTGATTCGATAGGGTTAAGATTTGTAGATCTGCTATTACCTGAAATTTTATAACAGGCATGGACTCAGGCGGAGAACTTTGTATGGAACTCAAGATGCATCTTTTCACATTTGCATGCATATTCCGCAGAAGTGGGACATTCCCGGTTCTTCATTATATAAGCAGAAGTAGACTTAAATGGGAATTTCAAAAGCACCAGATTTTCAAGGCGGAAAGCACAAGTGAACAACAACACTTTCCTGGCATACTATGCCGATAGGCTAAACCTCTTACTCTGCATGCGGTCTTTATGCCATACCGCTTTGAGTTACTCTGAGTTACTCTAAGTCACTCTGAGTTGTGCTTTACAGTGTTGGATTTACGATGTATTGTCCGATGCCACGAGTTAACGCATATAATTTGTGACTGTCAATCTTGCTTGAATTCCGCCTCTCTCGCCATGTAGAGAGGGCTAAATTTCAAATAAAAAACAATGTCACTGGTTTTTTACATGTGTGTACGGTCACTGTCGAATTCGGACCTCCCTAGCATCAATTCTGTTCACCGAAGCTGGATCGCATATGCAGTCGGTGGCCCTGGAGACTATGTCGGCGGGACCCAATTCAATATTCAAGTGCTTCTAGCACTGTGTCAACTGCCGATATTTTCGCCGGATTTGGTTTGCATGCAGGGAAGCGAAGTGTTGCAGTCTAAAAGGCCGATCGAGACACCCAAGTCTTCTGACAATTTTCAAAAAATGCAGTCACTACAGGATATTACATTCTATATACATTTTCAAGATGGCCAATTACATACAAGTTCCAGGATGGGCAGCCCAAGAGGAGAGCAAGATGTTCAAATCCGTTCGAACGCATCAATGCGTTGTCAGCTCAAGCCGGCGATTGTGTTTCATTCGGCGCGAATATATGCATTCACAGCTATAGGGGGCGGTGTCGGTACAATCAAAAGCTTATCGAACATTCTCCCAAAAGAGAATACGACATGCCAAAAAGAATATACCAGCCACGAGTTAAAGCCGCTATGATTGCTCAGGATGGGAAAGTCTTGACATTGCATCCGTCTCTGGTTTACTGCGACAGATCCAGGGTCTCAAAGTCAGAGGGCAACTCTCCAGTGTCTCCAAGAATTATCTCGCTTCCTCCCTCTTGACCGACTAGATACGTTTGAGCAGATTCTCTTATATCCTCGATTTCAACTTCCAGGAGTTGATCCCTTCTTTGCTGTCTCGTGTCATTATCAATCCCATGTAAGAACTCCATCATACCCTCTTCTTTGACACTCAAGGGGGAATCCACTTTCTGGAATATAGTTAGTTTGGAACGGTCCAAATCCTCTTCGGTAACACTTTCGATCGAATCTATCATCCACTCGCCCGATTTGGCGAACACTGAAAGTGAATTCAAAGGTTTGGGGTCTCGGTATGAGTAGAAACTGAATATTCCGTTGAGCGCGCTGAATTGACTTCCGCCACCATATGCGCCCCCCTTCTCCCTGACTTCTGTGTGCAGTCTCTTGAAATTCAAGAGCTGCGTCATCACCTGTAAAGCTGCACCACCATTATCTGTATAGGATAAGCCAGTGCTTAGAGACTTGGATGCAAAGGAGACCTGACTCGGTAACTTGACTCCGGCCCTATAAACTCCATCAGTAACAAAAGGTAACTTAATGTCCCTTACGAGACTCTCACTTCCCAAAGAAGCATATCCATTCTGGGATAATCCACCGACAAATTTCTCAAGTTGTGCAACTTGCGAATCTAAAGACTCACGATTACAGGTAAGCGCGAACCTGTAGTTCTGGGTTCCGCTCATCAATATCTCTTGGATCTTTTTCAACTGTGGAATCACCTTGGTCTGTAACTCTCCTTTGGAGTTCCACTCTCCTAATTGTTTCAAAAATTGGACCTGGCGAATGCCGCTGAGATGATCATCAATCAATGCTACTGGAGAGATGAATGAAGTACCATACGACTTTGCATACCCGTGGCCATTACTCACAATCGAGCTCACATTATCGGCACTCAAGGATTTTATCAAGGTAGACAACTTGTCAGTGTTATCAAAATTTGTCTCCTTTAGCAATCTCTCCCAAAGGCCAATAACTTTTTCGAATTTGTTGTCAAGGGAAACACCAGAAATTGCCAGTTTCAGCACTGGATCGACGATGTTATCAGGGGTGTTTGATACAAACACAGAAGCTTGTAGTCCTCCTGTGTGCAGTTTGATTTGATCCTCTAATGCGGCCATGGACTCGGTCGTGGTTCCCAAACTAGTCAAACAATCTGTGAACAGGGGCAAGTATGAAAGCAACGAAATTGGAATCTCAGAATCTATGGTCTTCGTGGCCCTGAAGTAGGTCAAGCCATTAGACTTGCTTGAAACTCTAGCGAAAAGTCTAGAATCAGTTCCCAAGGCAGACTCTTTCAAGTCCACAGCATTCCCATCTCTTGAAATGTCAGAAATGCTCAAACTTGGCAAACATGACAAATCTTGTTCTTCTTCCTGCTTCGAAGCGAGAGTGCTTCCTCTTGTGAAGATTATTTGTTTATCTTCTGGCGTTAATTTTTCCACCATGCTGGTAAGACGCTTTTGTTCTTCTTGGGCTATTTTAGCCTCAAAATCAGGGTTTGGGGTCATCGTGAACTTGAAGTGGTTACCATTTAAAAAATGACGTTCAATCAGTTCCGTGAATATCTTGTCTCCCCTAGAATCGTACTCTGCAATGAATTTGGACATTGTCTCCTTCCACTCCATCATCTCTAGTGGATCAACCTCATCGACCCACCCGGAAATCACTGAGTTGAGTAATCCCAAACCAAATGAGGAACTCTCCACCTTGCGTCCCAGCTCGATCTGATTGATGATGGCTTGGACTTTATCCTTGGGGAATCCTTCATCGCAAGCCTCTTTCAAAATATTCGTCACAATCTCTTCGAAATTGCCAGAAACCTCTTTTGTCATTCCTTGCGCCCCAATAGTAAAGATATTCACAGCAGGCATGGACTCCATACCGCTGTTCACAGAGAAATCAGTGACTAGATTGGATTCCACCAGTTTGACGTATAACGGAGCAGAGTGACCATCTGAAAGTAAGTTGTTGAGCACCCTCAGTTTGAAAGTCTCGTACACATCTTTGGGAGAACCAGCAAACCACGTCAACGACGTCTTCCATTGAGTCTCTATAGGAATCATTGGATCCACAGGACCTTCCAGTTCAACAACCTTGTTTCCAGAATCGAGTGTAATAGGTTGTCTTATCAGGCTCCGCTTGTGTCTTTTGCCAAAGTGCACGAATCTTTCATTGATCGTTTCGAGATGCCTGGACAAAGGCATGTCACCATACGTGAAAGTCCTGGAGTTAGAAGGATGGTAATTCGTTGAGTGGAAATCAACCAGGTCAGGATATTGCAAAGACGTGATGTGAGCTGGGTCACCTCCTGAGTTTTGTAATGAAGGGTAAATCGACTCTTGGAATCTGATCCAGAAGTAGTAGAACGGGTCTGACATCTGACCCTTCATCTCGTTGTATACCACACCCTTGAAGATCAAAGGCGAGTCCTTGTCCTTTATATCCTCATTCTCCAGTCTCCATCCCTCTTGAAAGAAATCTTCTTCGGCCAAAGTTGGGTTCAGCGTGGCGTCCAAATAAACGTCCATCAAGTTGTAGAAGTCCGTAGAGTTCGTGGTGGCAAATGGATAGTACGTATAATCATGGGCGGTCATAGCATTCATGAAATTCGACAAGCTTCTGTTCAACATTTTGAAGAAAGGATCACGCACTGGAAACTTATCAGACCCACATAACGTCGTGTGTTCCAGTATGTGCGGCACTCCCGTATGGTCTGGAGGATTGGTCTTGAAAATAATACTGAAAACGTTGTTCTTATCATTTCGGTCAATATGAAGATGGCGTGCTCCTGTTCTATCATGAACAAGATCAACAGCGGTTAGAGACAACTCCGGAACTGGCAATACCCTCTCCACGCTGTAGCCAGCTATCTTCTTCTTCAATGGATACTTTCTCAACATCCTTGGGGCGTTGTAGCTTGAGGTGGCCGCACCCCGGGCAAGTCCGGGTAAGCGCGGCACCTTAGAAATCCTTTTCCATGCAGTCAACATTTGTGTAACAGGTTAAGCAGCTACTGGTCTTTGTTCTGAAAGAAAACAATGATATCTTCGCACTTTGTTCATTGAACATTCTTCCAGAGTCGTGTCCTTGCAAATCTTGTCGTCACGGCGCCGCTGCAATGAACCTATCTGGTGCCTTACCCAACCCAAAAAAGTGAACGTCGGGCTCGGCAGAAATCCTTCCGGTTTTTCCCGGAAATAACCCGAAACCGAAAATGGTTCTCAAGATTTTCGGTTTTCGGGAATTGGATGATATACGCCTCAAATATACAGCGTACAGAACAGACGTAGTTGTCATACAGTATGGCTGATTGGAAAATTGTGCCCTAATCAAAAGACTTGTAGTACAGATTCACAAAGAGATGTTATAAAGCTGTTTTGAATGATATATATAGAACTACAACATCAGGTGAGTCGCAAACCCTACGCGTCCAAGGACGCGTGCGGACAAAAATTTGGCCACATGATGACATTACCGAAAAACAGACCCCACCCTCGGTAAAAATCCGAAATACGAAATCCGAAAACCCGAAAAACCGGATTTTGCTGAGCCCACTGAACGAACAGGTTGAATTCTGCTATGCACGACCGATCCAAGACTGGTACCTCACACGGTGTATTGAGGATCGGTTCCTTTGACAAGGTAGTGTCTCTCTTCCACATTCAGAACCAAGATGCGAAGTTTCAAAGGTTTGTTTTTAGTGCTTGGCTTGGCTTCAGTGGCGCTTGCCCAGAAGGCAATGGTGACAAACGAGTCTCCCCAGTTCTGCACTGGTATGTACAGCAAACAGGACTGGGGTGGGAACATCGAGCCCTACATCAAGGTGGATTTGGAGTATTTCCTTACAAAGGATGAGAATGGCAATTCATCGATCTCAATTGTCATCTTTGAATACAGCGATATTGATGGATTGGGAGTACAGGTGTCGGAGACTTCTAAGCACTACGTGTGCTCGGAAGAGCTGGTAGCTAAAGGATTGTGTGACAGTAGCGAACTGTATCAATTCATTGTCAACAAAAATGTTACCACCAAGGCGGAAGTTTTATCGACTGTGCTTACTACTTATGGTGATAACGGTTTGCAGTACAAGATCGCAAGGACCGGTTACTACTGCGTGGCTTGCTTGTCTCCGCAGGACTTCGGTAGCTCCAAAAACACCTTCAAAGTGCTGGTGAACTTCCAAAACGCATTCGGAAGTCTCCCCGCTGCCGATATCCCAAAGCTGCCGTTGTATGGCTTGCTTTCTATTGTTTATGCTGTGTGTCTTTGTGTGTATCTGTTCCAAGTGTTCAAACACAGATCCGAGCTTTTGCTTTTGCAAAAGTACCTGGCTGGGTTCTTTGTGTTCCTGACTGTGGAGAGCATCTTCACGTGGTCGCTTTTTGATGTCCAGAACAACAACAGGAAGTATCCGTTGCCGGGTGCCATCAGCTTCTACGTGTTTTTCGTTTCCTTGCTGAGCTCATTCAAGACCTCGTTTTCACTGTTTTTGCTACTGATCATTGCCCTTGGCTACGGTGTTGTCTATCCTAAGCTAAACAAGAAGCTCATGTTGAAGGTAAAGATTCTGGCTGGTTGTCATTTCATTTTCGGTGTTGGTTTCATCACATACTCATACCTCAGCACTCAATCCCAACCGAACTCTGGTGCTACTGGCGAAGATAGCAGCGCTGGCGCTGGCTCGTGGTTGGTTCTGCTTACGGCCATTCCATATGCTTTCACTCTGGTGGCCTTCTACTTTTTGATCCTGTCGAGTCTTTCCAAGACCGTGAAACTGTTGGCTGAAAACAAACAAATCGTGAAGCTGAAGATGTACCAGAAGCTTTTCAGGCTGATCTTTGCCTCTTTATTGCTTCTGATCTTTGCCTTTGTCATTTCGATCATTCTGGTCTTCAATGACTCACTTACGGACTCGATCGAGAAATTTTGGAAATTCAACAACGTCTTGACTGACTTCTGGCCCTCGTGCCTGTACTTCATGGTGTTCATTGGTATTGCCATTATCTGGAGACCGACTGATACTTCTTATTTGTTAGCCCTCAGTGACCAGGTACCCAGCAACGTGATTGACGAGGAATCGTCTGAACAGCCACCGGTTGTATCTGGAGACCCCAGTCAGTTTGGAAATGAGTTTGAGTTCGACGATTTGGACAGTCTTGAGAGTGCAGGATTGGGCCGTTCTTCTGTGAATCCTTTCGACGACTCAAACAGGTACGATTCGGCAAAGGTCAAGAAGCCAACGCCTACAGAGGATGAGTTCGACTTTCCACAAGATGATGCGATTGAGTTTGATCTAGAGCGAGAGCAGCAAAAAATCGAACAGGCATCAATAACCTCGCCGCCGCCAGGATATCGAGAGCTTGAAGGGAGTTCTTTTGCACTAGAAGACGAGCTTGAGAATGATGATGAAGAGGAGGAGGCACACAAGACGGCGTCCAAGTCTAAAAAGGAATGATAGAGACACAGAGATTATTCACATATAAGCACAATGATTCACTTGAATATATTGATTTATTAGAACTGTTGTAGCGTTGCAAGCGGTATCGTGCTCGACCAGAATGTCCCCTAATGCGTCCCCCATGCAAAGCCTGCATGACGAAACCCCACTAAAAGCAGTTTTTGGGCCAATTCCAAACTAGAAGTGCCAAATATATCTCAAATATCAATTGCCACAAAATTGCAAATAAAATGGAGTTTGCGGAGCGGGGCTTAAACTTCCAAGTCCGGTTTGGTTTGTCCGAGGAATGCTTACCAATTGTCCGAGTTGCCACAGCCGAGTGGGTCGTCTAGTATATAAGACCAGTGC